GCCGCGCCGCCAGCTGCTCCCGCAGCCTGCCCAGCTCGGCCTCCCGGCGCGCCAGGGCGTCCCGCAGCTCTGCCAGCTGTGCCGTCTCCTCCTCCTGCCGCGGCGCTCCCGGCGCCTTGGCCTCCAGCTCCCGCCGCAGCGCCTCGGCCTCGGCCTCGGCCCGCCCGCAGCGCTCCAGCAGCGCTTCCTTCTCCCTCGACGCCTCCTCCGCGGAGGCTCCCGGGGAGGCTGCGGCCGCCTCCAGCCGGGCCTGCAGCTCCTTCACCTGCTGCTCCCGCTCGCCCAGAGCTTTCCGTGCCTGCTGCAGGGCCGCCCGTGCCTCCGCCAGCTCCGCGCCCGACAAGGAGGAGGAGGAGGAGGGTGGTGGCTGAGGCGCCCGCAGCTCGCCCAGCGCCGCCTTGCATTCGCCCCACGTCCAGGCCTGCTCCTCGGCGAGCCCCTGTGCCGCGCTTCCCTTCGGGAATCCCTCCGGGATTTGCTCCAGGGCTCGCTCCGGCCGCCCCCCGGCCTCGTCCCTCGCGCCCTGTGCCCGCAGCTGCTCCAGCTCCCGCTGCAGGGCCTGGTAGAGGCTGGCGGGCACCACGTCCCCCGGGGCGGGCACGCTGCTCTCGTCCCGCTCGTAGTTCTCCAGCACCTGCCGAGGACACCGTGAGGCCCTCACGGGACAGGGGGTGGAGGAGGGAGGGAGGGAGGGAGGGATGGATGGACAGGGACGTGCCTGTATTTTGTCCCTCAGCTCCTTGTTCTGCACGGTGAGGGACTGCACCTGCCCCTGCAGCGTGGCCAGCAGCTCCTCGGCCGAGGGGCTCAGCGTCTTCTTGGAGAGCAGCAGCTCCGCTCCTGCGGGGCACAGGGACTCCACTCAGTGTCCACCCGTGCCACCCTCCCCGAGGTGGCCTCGGGAGGCCTTCGGGGCCCTACCTGGGAACTCGAGCGGGTCTCCCTCCTCATCCTGCAGCATCTCGATGTCGTAGCTCGTGTTCTCCTTCTCGTTCTGGGGATGCAGGGTGGTGGTGACCCCCCCACACACACACACACACCCCCCAGCCCCTGGCACTGCCAGCTGCTGCCCACACCCACCTCCAGCGAGGACAGGCGACTCCGCAGAGCCTCCACCTCCTTGCCCAGCCTCTCCTTCTCCCCATCCCGGGCCGCCAGCTTCTCCTCCAGCTCCTGGATCTGTGGGGCAGGACGCAGGAATAAAGATCCTCTTGGCTCCCACCGGAGTCCCAGTGGCATTTCCATCACCAGGGGCACCCCTGAGCTCCTCACTGGCCTTTACCTGCTTCTCCATGGAGCGCAGGGAGCCCTCGTCCAGCTCTGCCCTCTAGCAGGAGCCAGAAAGAAAACAGGGAGGGATGAATGCTGTGCCCATCCCTGCTGTGCCCATCCCCGCTGTCCCCTCCGCTCCCCAGGGATGTGGTGGCATCTCCCCAGGACCCTGCAGCTGGTACCTCCCGTCGCTGCTTCTCCTGCTGCTCCAAGCCCCGGATCTTCTGCAGGAACTGGGCCCGTTCCTGCCGCAGCCGCACGATCTCCTCGTAGGCATCCCGGTCCTCCTGCGGGAAATCAGAGGATCGTGGGATCCCCTCAGCTGGGAGGCACCCACACAAGGATCGTGGGGTCCAAAACTCCTGGCACGGGACGCCCCAAAAATCCCACCATGTGCCTGAGGGTGCTTTCTGACCCCAGAGAGGGAAGGAAAGGCTCTGGCAGGGCGTGGACCCCTCAAGGCCAGCACAGCCCCCCATCCAGGGGTGTGCCCTGCAAGAGAGCCAGGTGAGGACCTGGAGCTAAAGCTCACCTGGCTGACGGTGCCCAGAGGAGGAAGAGGGGCCTTCCTCTTTCTCGGGGTGCTGCTCTTCTCCCTGACGGACGACTGGCTGGGTGAAGAGGTCTGTGGAGACACCGAGGCAGAGGGGACATCGCACCCACGGTGATCCAGTGCCACCTCAGAGAGCCCTGGGGGACCCCCTGGCAGACCCTCACCTGGGATGTCTGCTCAGTTGACTCCTCTTCTGAGGGGCAGAGCAGGAGGGAAGAAAAAGGGGGGAAGTTTTTAGGGGACCAGAGCCCGTGTGGGTGTGGGGACACTCAGGGGACACCCACACGTGAGTGCACAGCGTTCAGGGGGACACAGACAGACACATAGAGGGGTGTGGATGGGTGTGTAAGGACAGGGATGCAGTGCAGACACAGGGACACACGTGCACACACAAACACATGTGAAAACACCCATGCACTCAGACCCCCTCGCGTGCAAACACACGTGAACACGCGTGTGCGAGCACCCAGCCAGACAACCGAGGCTCAGCACCACCTCAGCTGGTGACAGCGCAGCCAAAGGCAGCCCTGGTGCCTGGCAGAAGGGGACATGTGCCCCCCAGCCTCACCCAGCCTCCTCCATCCCCGTCCCAAAGTGCCCTGACGGTGCCAATCCCCCGGTGGGGTCCATCCCCCTGCGAGGTGACAACCCCCCCACGCTCCCTCCCCTGGGCCCAGGGAGCCCCAGGGTGCCACAGCTGCCTCACCACTGGCCCAGGAGCGGCGCTGAGCAGCCTCCTGCAGGAAGTGCTGGATGAGGGCATTGCCCGTGGCCAGGCTGTAGTGAGCGGCGTCGTGGCCCGTGGCATCGACCACGGCCACGCGGGCGCCGGCGTTGACCAGCACCTCCACCGTCTCCACGCTGCCGCTCTCACAGGCCAGCATCAGGGCTGTCCTGAGCACAGGGGGACAGCAGAGGTCATGGGGGGGACCATTCCCTTTGTCTCCACGTGCCCTCCCTCCCAGTGCCCAGCGGTGCAGCCCCACCTGCCCTGCAGGTCCCGGCTGTTGACGGCCGCCCCGCGGTGCAGCAGGTACCGGCACAGCTCCGAGTGGCACATCTTGGCAGCCAGGATCAGCGGGGTGGAGCCGTCCTGGGCAGGGCAAGGGAGGGGGTGAGGAGGAGCAGACAAGGCTCAGATGCCCAACCTGGAGTACCACATTCCTGATTTTTCCCCCCTGCCCCCAATTTCCACAGCCCCAGCCTGGCACGAGGAGCAGCAGGACCTCACCTTGTCCTTGATGTTCAAGGGAGCCTTGAAGTCACAGAGGATCTCGGAGCAGGAGATGCAGCCGCTGACGGCTGTGGAAGGGACAGAGGCTGAGCCCTCCCTGCCCGGGGACAGAGCAGGACAGGGTGGCACCGTCCCCACTCACCTGCCAGGTGCAGCGCGGTCCGGCCGCTGCCATCGGCCACGTCCACGGGGCAGGAGGCCTGAGGGACAGAGCCTGGGTTAGAGGGTGGGACAGACAGACAGACAGACAGACAGACAGACAGACAGAGACAGCTGGAGGGGACATGGTTCTGTGGCACAGTAAAGGGCAGGGGACAGACAGACAGCTGTGGCTCCATGATGTGATGAAGGACAGGGGACAGACAGACAGACAGACAGACAGCTGTGGCTCTGTGGCATCATGGAAGGCTGAGCAGGTGCCAGGCAGCACCACACAGAGCCAGGAATCTCCATGACAGGTCAGGGCACTGGTGAGGAAAGGGGGTTCAAGGACAGTGAGGACACCCTGCTGGCACAGCACCCTCCTCCTCCTCCTTCTCCTCCTCTTCCTCCTCCTCCTCCTCCTCCCCTCCCTCCCTCTCCACCCTCCCCGTACCTGCAGCAGTTTGCTGACACACTGAGGGTGCCCGTGCTTGGAGGCCAAGTGCAGGGCAGTGGAACCTGGGAAGGGACAGACAGACGGGTCAGAGCACGGACAGTGGGTCTGTGGCAGAGGGGACAGCCCGGGGGACACACAGAGGGACGGGCACACGGGATGGGCACACAGGGACATCCCCAGGAGCCTCATCGCTCGGTGCTTGAGCTCCCGGCATGGCCATCACCTCTGTCCCCTGGGGACAACCAGGTGGCCCCGTGGCAGTAGCCAGGGTGGCCCTGCCCTCACCCGAGCTGTCCTTGGTCATGGCATCCACGCCGTGGGCCAGCATGGCTTCCAGGCAGTCCACGTTGCCCCGGGTGGCAGCCAGGTGGAACCTGCAGCGAGACCAGGGCGCTGTGGCACCGTGTCCCTCGTGTCCCTCGTGTCCCTCGTCCCCAGCCCCGTCCCCGGGGCGTGGGGTGGCACTCACGCGGATTTGCCCTCCGAGTCCAGCTTGGTGGGCACCAGGCCCTTGCGGACCAGGAGCGACGTCACCCGCCCGGCATCGTTGTAGTCCACGGCCTGCAGGAGCTTCTCGTCGTTCTTGGTCCAGTCCTGGCTCTGCAACGGAGCCAAGAGCAGGCTGTGACACTGTGCTGTCCCCAGGGCTGGGCCGGGGGGCTGTCCCTGTCCCCATGCCCTCTGTCCTGCACCCAGCCCTGTCCCTTGGTCTCTGTGCCAGCCCCTGTGCTGGGGGCTGTGCTGTCCCACCCCCAGGGTTCAGCTGGCACTGGGATGAGGGTCCCCTCCAGCCCCTCCCAGTTTGCAGCTCACAGACCAGGGCATTTACAGACCCAGACGTGCCAGGCTGGCACCGGCTGGGATTTGGGGACGAGCCCGGCTGTCCCTGCCACCCCAATAAACACAGCCAGCACCCAAGGGAGCCCCACCCCTGGCCGGTTCTCCCCACTGATCCCAACCCAAGCCCTGAAGGGGTAAGGACCAAGCCGGGACAGCTCCCCTGGGATGCTCCAGCCTCTCTGGGATAACGGGGCTCGACACCGTCCCCATCCACACAGGAGCAGGGCTGGCAGGGAGCTTGCCTTCCCAGTGCTCCCGTTCATCCCTGTCCCGAGGGACTGACCCGCAGCGGGACAGCACCAGGACAAGAACTGCAAGTCCTGGGTTCACCCCGCAGCCGGTGACGACAAAGCCGAGCCGGCTGCGGCCGCGGCGGCAGGAAATGGATGTCACCTTTTCGGGAGCTGCTGGCACCGTGCCCCGAGCCAGCCCCGGGGCCACCGTGCCCGCCGGGAGCCCCTCGGAGCCCCTGCAGCCCGGCGGGGCCGGGGGCAGGGAGTACACCAGTCTGCCGGGGTTACTGGGCAAACTGGGAGGGTGGTGCCCGCGCCCCCCACGCCCCCCTGGAGCAAGGACAAAGCAGGTTGGGGTGGGCGCGGGGGAGCCCCGGGGTGCGGCCGGGGATGGGGTGCAGGGGGTGCAGGAGGGGCGGGGTGGGGGGGACACGGCTCAGCCCGCAGGACGCGACCGGAGGGGTCCCGAGAGGGGGGGACCGGGGACGTACCGCGAAGGAGGCGGCGGCACAGAGGCAGATCTGCTTCATGGTGCTGAGGAGGAGGCGGCGGGCAGCCATAAACCCCGCGCCCCCCGCCCGGGCCAGCACGCCCACCCCAGAGCCCGGCTCGGTCCA